ATAAACATCAAAATCAAAATCAAAGAGCATAATATACATTGGAACTCTCTTATTATTTGAAAATGTATTATTTTTTTTAATGACATATCCTACAAAATATCACATCATATTTCGTGCAAACGCCAATGTGTCATAGACTTTTCTTTCTTTCTTTTTTGTTATTCTTCTAATTATCATCTTAAGCGTTACTGCACATCATAACAACATCGTAAAGATACATATATTTTTCTTTTCATTTCAATCATTGGTAAGTTTTCTCTGATACTAATGTAAGAACATAGTACAGTATGCCAGAAAACTAGCAGTACTATTAGGAATAATGGTCGATGATGAGATCGCTTTCCTTCCCGAAGTTTTTTTTTGAAAAAAAAAAAAAGGTAAATTACGATAATAAGTCAACCGTAGACTATAACATGTGCATATTTATTCACATTGATTGGAAATTAAAATTTTTGTATTTGTACTTCCCTAAGGGGCATCTGTAAAGTTCTTTTCTTTTCGTCTTGAGTCAAACACAGCTCGACATATAGCGTTGACGATAATAATTACGATTATAATCTTAACTTTTCTCTAAACCATTTTGATGAATGAAAACCCCTAATGAACAATTTTCGATTAACAATCAGATCATTGTGACGTAAAATCTTGATTTTTTTTCACAATGATCCGATTGCTAATCGGAAATTTTTCACTAGGGAGAACTAATTTTCAAGATATTAGACCCTGAATAAATAAGCTTATTGTTCTTTGTCTTTAATCGGCTACTGGTCTTATATGATTTTCTAAATATCTGAAAAAAAAACGAATTTCAGATCGGTATTCAAATATTCTTTATCCAACGATACAGAAATTAAAACATCTCATTACGTGAAATAGCTCATAGGACCAGATTACGAGCGGAAACCTTAGTCAACTGACGTCTGCAGTATTTTTTGAAGTTATATTATTTGGCCATTTCGCCCGACCACTCTCTAAAAGTAATATAGACAGATCTTGTAGAGAAACGCCATATTTTTCAGATTATCTTTTCACAGTTCTTGCGTATTATGCATTGTCCTATGTGTTTAATCGACATAATTAATCTGTTATAAGATAGAGCACACTTGACATGGAGAGTTTTCATATCCGTACTTCTGACAGCCTTCGAGCCCAAATATTTTCTCAGTTCTTATCTATACCATTGTAACAAGTGAGAAGACGAAATATGCAACAGTTTGACCTTAGACAAAAAAAACAGTCCTCTCTATTTGGATTTTGAAATCATTTCTACTCGAGTACATTGCTATAAATCTTGGAAAAGTTATTTAATATTGGTAACTAGGTTTTTTTTCTATCTAATGAAATATTAATTGTGACAGTTAGACACATATGACAATGCATAGCCTGCGAGAAATATGAAACGCTAATCTGAAAAATATTACTTTCTCCTACTAAATGACAATTTCATCCGTAAATAACAGATTCTTTTTTTCCTCTTCAAGGATATTTTTGAATAGAGCATGAATATATCAATCTACCTATATCACTTCTAGAGAGTAACTGGTTGAAATGAGCAAGTGATACAATTAACAAAGATACCTCAGACATCAGTTGACTAACGTTTCCGCTCGTTGTTTAGTTTTGAGGAACTGTTTTACATAATGAGACAATGAAAAACTTCCAATTAACCATTGGATTATGATAAAACAATATCAAGAATTTAATTCATTTGATGGATTTTGCTTGTGAAAGGAAATCCATCAAATCGATTAAATTCTTGATGCTGTTTTACCATTATCTAATTGTTAATCAGACATTTTTCACTGGGGAGACTTAATTTCTGCCTCATTATATAAAGAATACGTGAATATTGATTTGAAATTCATTTTCAAACATTTAGAACATTGTATATGACCAGTAGCTGATCAAAAACAAAGAACAACAAGCTTGTTTATCTAGTGCTTAATGTCTTGGAAATTTATTCTCTTCATTGATCGAAATGGTTTATATAGAAATTAAGATGATATTAATAATCAATGCCGTCAACTCTATATTGCGGCATGTGTCTGACTTAAAATAAACAGAAAAAATATTTTCAGACACACTGTAATGAAATACAACTACAAATAATTTTAATGTCGAATCAAGGTTAATAAAAAATATACTCATACTGTTCTTCATGCTTGGTTGACTATCGTGACGTATTTTCTTTTTCGAGAGCATGTGTGGGAAACAAATTATATCATTGACTCCCGTCATTTGAATTCTCTTCATTAGTAACGGGCTTTAAGTAAGTTTGTTTTCATATTTTGTCACACTCGTATTCTCTCTTCTTTATTTAACTTAATATTAATGATTGATTAATGAAAAATTATTGATGTTTGATATCTCGATGAGATACTTCTTCAAACGTTAACGTCAAAACAAAATGACTTAATATAGAATAACAAACAACAGAAAAGAGAACAAATTCGACTATTTATTTTTGCTTTTCCAGTTATTCTTTAGTAACGATACAGAAGAAAAAGGAAGACAATAATGATAATAGCTAGATAAGACTTTGATCCTTTTCTATTTTATTATCAAACAAACTCTTACAAATTAAAAAGAAAATAGATTAATGTGTCCTACTTTTACTTGTATGTTAATCTATATAAAGTCATTTAGTTTAATGTTCATATCTGATGAAGTAAATCATCAAAATATTTCAAGTCACTAATCAGTGATTAATTAATACCTTATATAAAATTAAATAAAAAAGAGAATTTAATCATGATTTATTTCAATGTAAGCTTCTTATCAAGACACAAATTTATTTTACTGACTATTTTTAACTGAAGAAAATTTATATACTCGTTCATCTCATAGTAATTACAAGATTGAATTGCAGTTGAGGAAATATTTTCTAGGGTGTTTTTTTTCTCCCATGTCACAATTGTGTTTATTAAAATAAATTTCGTTGAAAATTTTCAATTTGTGTATTGATCATCTAAATTAAACAAAATGATTGAATATTTCCAATATCTATTTTAGTGATAGTGAATTGTTAAGATATTAATAAATAAATGTGGAAACCTCGAATTTAAATGCAAGTGTTATGTGTACTTCAAACAGTAAAAACACAGAAGCAATTTCTATTTAAGTATCTTTGCAATAGGTGACTTAGTCTTCTTGTTTGTTAATGTTTTATATACCATTTTGTAGCCCATGAAATTCTCTATCGAATGGTATATTGTAGCTGAGGTTTTGTTTGATTATGAGAGAAAAAGTTTTTTTACGAAAATCGGGATAGGTCAATATTCGCATAGAACAGCATAGGAAATAATGGTATTTTTCCGATAACTCAGCAATTTCTTGACGAATCATTCTCATCTTCGAACTCGACCGAGATATTGATGAGACGATTCTGTGTACAAAATTTCATCACAATCGGACTACTCTTTCAAGAGTTATCGTGTAAACGGCCAGCCGGACACACTGACCGATTCTATAGTGTACTCACTTTTCGAGTACACAAAAAAAGACATTTTTATTATATTTTAGTTTACCAATGAGCAGCTGATTGTTTTGTTATCGAAGATCAATCATGTAGCTCGTCATGTAAAGAATTGAAAAGAATTTCCAAGATATTACACAAGGGAAAAGAACAAATTATTTTTCTTGAATAAGAAAAGAATGCATAAAATCAAAAATGATAATAACCGTTTTCCATTACTTTTTTTCGAAGACAGTTATTCTCTTCTGTGTTGTGAGGTCAAGAAATAGCTTATGGATGAAAAAGAAAAACTCTTGCATTGGACTTATGACGATAACATTGAAAAACATTTGATATTTTCCGCCTACTAATAATACTAATAAGTAATTGATATAGGATATCATATCAATCGCCTCAGAGCAATATAAATCTGTTTATATGTAAACCAAATGTAATGCTATATTTTCTCTTAAAAATAAACACATTCTCATGTGTATTATCATTTTTTAATGTATGTCTCAGTTTTTTGTTTTTACATAGGCCTTCAAAACATAATAATAATAAAAACAAAAGAAACCAAATCGTAACATTTGCACAATATGTCTATTTCTTTTTTCTTAATTATTATATATTTTTTTGTTTTCTAAATACGATTACAAATTGATATAAGTGCTTTCTTTTTTAAGCTTTGATTTATCAAAAAAAAAATAAATAAAAATGTCTAAATTTTGCTCTTTAGTAAATGTAGGCTCATGTACTTAGCAAAAAATGTGTATGAGATGCTTCTTCATTTATTTTTCTTCATTTTATTTTCTGTCAAATATATATGTAGTAATAATGACACAGCTGTCGAATCAATTTATTGAAGAAATACTCTTGATACAAATACACTGGTAGTTTTGACAAAAGCCACTGTATTATAATTGACAACGTTTCTTATGTCAATGTTTTTTCCGTTGATTTCTTGTCTTTGTAGTCTCATGAGTATTTGTATGCTGAGCTATTCATATTAAAAGTCTAATGTATGCCATTAATGATAATGTAATTAGTCTTGTTACCATTAATTTATTTAAAGACGAGTTTTTTTTTGTCAAACACTACATGATGCATTATTGTAGAATATCGAAGGAAGCTTAAAAGAAAGATAAAAGAACAAAAAAAAAGCAATTCAATCTTTTGTATTTTTCTTGAAATATATCTATATATATTTTTTTTAATATTTATATGACCTAGTAAGTTCACTATAGTTGTAGAACTTATGAAGATTCAAGGATAACTGTGACGATAAAGATGTAGGCATATGATGGTGCCGACAAGTTCTTTCAATTATCTATTTCTATCTTCAGGGAATAGATATTTCTACGTGGACGTTCTCTTTGTTGACGTCTTAGTCTATGACAGCTAATAAAAATGAGTTCGTCATTTCTAAGAAAGAACCTAACTGTTCGCCATGTTGTTGTTTACTTCTACATGGTCTATGTCTAGAATAAAGTTTGTATTTATGTAAAAAGTAGTATTCATTTTTTTTAAAATAATTTAGATAAATATGCCATCATTTATTTACAATATTTCATCTAACTCATCATCTTCAAATAAATTTGAGATTGAATTTACACGATATATAATAAGTCTTAATTATACTCTTTCATTTGTTCAAGCATTTATTATTTTATTTGGTGTACTTGGAAATCTTCTTGCATTAATTGTTATTAATAGAAGATCTTTAAAAAATACATCATCTGCTGTATATATAACTTATATGGCAATATTTGACAGTTGTGTCCTTTTTTTACATGGTGCTAATTTAAGAATAACGAGTCGAAGTGCTTTTATTAATTGTTCATTAACTTATTTTACGGATTTAACAATATTTTGCGCTAATTGGATTCTTGTTCTTATAACATTAGGTAATTATGTAAATTTTTTGTAATAGATCAAGTTTAAATTTCTTGTTTTTTTGTTTGTGCCTTAGAACGTTGTGTGGCTGTTTATTCACCATTTCTTGCCAAACGTCTTTGTACTGTAAATTCAGCTCGTCACACAATATATATCTTCTTAACAATTTCAGTCATAATTTTTTCTGTGAAATTTCCATTTGTTTATGATTTAAAACATGCTTTTGTAAAGAAAAAATGTCATGTACATTCAAATTCTGGATTAATTCTTCGTATATATCAACCAATATTATTTTATGCGATACCAGATTTACTTCTTCTATCAAATTTATTTACTGTTTATGCATTATGTCGACGAACAAAACAACTTGCATCAGCTTTTTTAAAAGATGATGGAAAATCAGATATGCGTATAAATGATATTAATTCAAGTCGTAAACAACGACAATTAACAATTATGCTTGTTACAGTTAGTTTGTCATTTTATTTATTTACAACACCAGGAACAATTATATTTATAAGTGAATATAATCCAGTACGACATAATGATTTAAGTAAAACAAAACGAAATTTTTTTATCTCCCAAATATCTGTTATATTATTACAATTAAATAATGCAGTAAATCAATTTAATAAACAAAATTTTTCATTTTTTGTTTTGTATTTTTACTTTATAGACAAATTTTATATTTTATTGTCTTGCCGGTGAACGTTTTCGTCAAGCAACAATACAAACATTTTATGAGTACTCAGAACGTTTGGACGTTTTTTATCATCGATATATTTTATGCAATAAACAATATCATCCTGTATCTGCGTATCGATATCGTCTAAGTAATTTTGGAGCAACAACAATCTCCCGTGGATCATTTTCTCCACATGCTACTCGATCACCATTTAGAACATCTACTATATGATTATCATTTTTGATATTGATGTAAAATGAAAGCAGAAAAAAAATTAAAAAAGAAAACGAAGAATACAAAGAAATCTCATTTGTAACCTGTCAAAAAATATAACATCTATGACATGTTGTACTAGTAGAGATAATTGATCTTATATTCTCTTTTAATGATAGTGACAAGTGTTTTATGTATTCGTTCCATTCGTAAATTTGTTTTTTATTATTAACGAAAAAAAAAAAGAACTGTAGAATAAAATTAATGTTGTCCATGTATGCTATATTATGTTTGCTTTTTTTGTTTATTAAATTAAAACTATCTATTTAAAATAAATATATGTGAGACATTTGTTGAAAAGAAATTTTCAATTTTTCTCATTCTGATTATGTACATATATATGTATATATTTTTCTATAGATTCTTTATATATGAAATCTTGATTGATACTTGATATAATGCATTGTTTCTCTTATCAATGTCTACGATTATACGCACATATAAATAAATACTAATTAAATTTGCCCACTTATACAGATAACATTTGTGTTGATTAAAGCTTAGTACTAGAATAAGATCTTGAAATAATCAATCATATGCTTAATATCCTAATATATTAGAGATGAGTTGATATGTTTATTTCACAGAAAGAAAGAAAAAGTTTAAAGATGACAACAATTATTTTGAACTTTGTACATACTTTATATTTAATGTGTTGTAACCTATTGAGGTTAATTATTGATAAGAATATATCAATGATTAATAAAAGAAGCTTTCTTTTTTAAAAGAAAATTTTCTTCCTATGTCTTCTTCTCATCAAAATGTTTTTAAGCAACAAAAACTCATCTGATAATGTTTCTGTTTACATCATATCTATTTCTAAATGTATTGTATAGAATTATTCGTTAATTAAGAAGAATAATTTAACTTACTAATATCTTTTAAGAAGAAGAAGAAAAACAACAACAACAACAACAACAACAACACATTACACAAGCAATCGAAGATAATAAGCAAATAATAGATTAAGTTGAAATAGGAGATTTTGATATTCTATCTAGTCACAAGTTTTTTTCTATTAATTTTTTAGTAACTTTTATAATGATTATTAATAGAATAGCATATCGGATTTTTCATTTAGAATTGAAATCTTGACAAAAAAAAATTTTCAATCATGTCCAATCTGCGTTAACATATAGTTTATCGAAATTTGACATTATAATTAAAAAGATATCACTTAGAACTTTGATTGATTTATATTCTTTATTCATTATCATCAAATGAAATTTTGATTTAATGTCGAGTGATCTACAAGAGTGATGATGATGAACAGCACTAAGAGAAAAACTTGATATTTGTAATAATGAATCTTGGAATATTTTAGCACTACAAATCATAGAGCTTGTTCTCCACTTGAGGTAATCCTAATAACATATAAATCGTTATAGTCATACAAAAAGAATATGAACATAAAGTAGAGCAGAATTTGATAGGTTGTAAAAGAAATTTTTTGACATATAATTATGACAGTAGTTGATTAATAAGAAAAAAAAATTATTTGAGTTTATTAATGTTAAAAATTAAGGTATATTAAAAGTACTAATTTTAAAAGATAATATCTCACAGGAAAAAATTAATCAAGTATTAGTTCCAACCAGTACTTCATCTAATGGCCATACTTAACCACATACAATCAATTTGTTCGAAGACATTAGTCGAAGCTTTTTTTTTCAAGTAATTTTTGATTTAAAAAGCTTATTAGCACAACTCCTTTGAAGCTGAAATATGGAACTCACATATTTGCTGTATTTTCATTATACTAATAACAAAATATATAATGTTTAAATTCTCTAAAAGACGATAATTCTTTTCTAATGATAATCGATTGTCAGCAAATGGTATCTTTTTTATTTATCTACATCAAACAGAATTTTTTTCTTTCTTTTTGCTGGAGTTACTATGGTTTGTAATGAAGCCCTATGTTCCTAAGTGTCTGTAATGAGGAGAGGGTAGATGGAGAGGAGCCAGAAAACGTCGACTTAAAACTTATACTCACTATTTTCTTCGAAAATATGTGTGAGTTCCACAAAATTTTGTCGTCTTTATTATGGCACTCCATGTAGTGATTAAGGACCATTTGATTGACAAAATTTACCGATTAGATTGAACATCAGAAAAATACCTTGTAATTTATCTGTAAGATAAGATGAATACAAAATAATTATGATACGTTCTGATGTATAATAGTAAAAAGCATCTTTATGAATATATTCTTAGACTTTATCATAACAACTTGACTTTCGATGTATTGAGGGAAGCCTGATGATCTTTGTCTTCGCATGTTATTAATAAGTAATTTTACAGAAATATTGATAATAGTATTGTTAATTAGAAGTCTCTATTGTTTTTTTCATATGTGACTAGTTGTTTTTAGAAGAGACTCGAAACATTGTTTTGAGACTAAATTAGCGTAGCAAACTGTAGCTGATGAAAATTGTTTGATTGTAGCTCTTCTAGTTGAAGAATCTGAACCTATTTATTTGTGACGTATACAAAGTCTGTCACTTATTATTACTTCATCTATTGACTGTATTCTTTTAGCCAACCATGTCCAACAGAACTTGATTGATCGAAATAGTTGCTGATACATATATATATTTTAAAGTGCTGTAATCGAGATGATGAAATTGTTAACCAAAGATAATATGAACAATAGCTTCAACAAATGTCTTCGAATAAATCCATTATTCATAATTAAGCATAACCATTTACTCAAACACTTACTGACACACAAATTCGATTAACTCTTTCTTGTGGGCTTTATCTGTCAAAATCATTATTGTTCCTATGTCCTTGATCTAATATTTCATAATTTACAAATATAACACATTATCAAAAACATATATCAAGAACTGCTAAATGATATTAGTCAATGTAATGAATTATACTGATTCTGATTTTTTTTCTTTTCAGATAAAACTTTAAAAAAAAACAGATGTTATACATATTTCTATTTCATTATCAAAATTATCGTAAATATTGATAGTCCTTAACACTTAATGATTATTTTGTATTCGCTAATTAACGACTTATGAATTTTCCACATCTTTCAAAGCTATTTAACAGTATGAAATAAAGTATACAGAAGATATCTTCATTTCATTTTAGTTTAATAAGACGATAATACAGTTCATATAACTGATTATAAGATCAGATTTTAACATATATTGATTAGAAAGGTTGGAATTAACGTTGTTTTGGACCCAAAACCGAGTTTTGTTTCATCAATATATGGTAATCTTTGTGTACATGAACAAGTAAAAGATCAACGTTCTAGCTATTTATTAACTACTCGAAGAAACAAAGTCAACGTATAGTCATGGCTTATTACTCATTTTTCCGCTACTTAATGCTTGATAAATTAAAAGTTTTCGCTTAGTTGGAAAAGTATTATGTTAACAAAAAAAAAAAGAAATTCAACAACTCTTTGATAAACAAAACTCATCACTGAGAATCGTGAAACCAACAGTAATACACAAATACTCAACTGTACGGAATAGTTTTAGTTGTATCTATGTGAGCAAGGCTAAATAAGTAAAGAGCTAAGAGTTCCTAGTTTTTCGAACCCGGATTTATAGCTCTCTAATAGCGATAGAAATCATAACACATTATCTTTTAATCAGTCGAACATTTGACTACAATACTTTTTAGCTATGGCAATTAAATTATAAGTACATGAATCGTATGTTTAAACATATGCTCGTTACGTATATTGGTACTGATGTTGCGAATTGAAAACTGATTATGACTGATACAACATAAATCATGTATAGTAAAATATGATCATATACGTATATAATCGAGTACTGATGATTGCATGCATAGAATTTCTGCAATCTATATGAGTTTCAATAAAATGTTTCAAAACATAACACATATAAGGTTATATAAATCATATTAATATCAATACAGTTGCTAAGCATGATCATTACTATGATATAGCTATGAATCAGAAAGTTTGTTTTATTAATCTATATACTCATATAAATTGTTAATTTTCTCGAAAAAAAATAGACTAAAAGCAGAAGCAATCCTGCTTAATTAATGTCACGAATTTCAATGACAGTGTGGCTGTCTGTAGCTCCTAGTGAAATGTGAAAAAGTAAAAACATTTAGCTTCCAAAACCAGTACCCTTCTTGAGATATTCAATCCACAACAGAGGTAGCCTCAGGTAACAAAATAAGGATAACCAAAGTAGTATCCATGCATTGTATAGTTAAATATACAATGGATGAATACTCCTTTGGTTATCCTCATCTTGTCACTTGAGGGTGCCTCTGTTGTAGACTGAATTATCTCAAAAAAGAGAACTCATTTTAGAAGTTAAATGTTTTTACGTTTTCACATTGCACTTGAAGCGACATACAGGCACAGTTTCATTGGAGCTCGTAACATCATTTGAGAGTATGATACATATTTGAGTTGTCTCTTTCGTGTAGCGGTTCCAAAAGATGTCTGTTAATGATAAGTAAAATCATTGTATTGCTGTTGTATTCGACATCAGAACTATATGCCATCAAATAAAAATAATTTGTTATTCAATTACTATTTTTGCTTGTAAAGTGGAATTATTACTTAATTGAATTGTAACCACTTTTCAATCATCTTCAAACGTGACATCCAATGATTACTTAAAATTTTGCTTCGAAAATCCGTTTTCTATCATTATTCATTTCTTCTTCTTTTTGTTATTGATTGTAAAAAAAACGATGCATCACATTCAGCTAACATTTATAAATAACATCAATGATATGTTCATAATAGAATAAGAAATTTCATTTTCCGTTCAAGTTATTTCTAATACAATTTATCTTGTCAAGAAAGAACAAATCAAACAAGATGAAAAAAATCTTAATCAAGTTTTATTTAGTTATGAATTTTGATACTTATGTGAATGAACTGCAGCAAAACTAATATGAATAGGCGATGACATCATAATACGATACTTTTTCTTCAA